ATAAGATCCATCTATTTAATATTAACCTTTCATACAGGAGGGACTAGTACAGGTCTAGGAAGAATAACTCGAGAGCTAACGAGAAACCCTATTCTCATTCCACTTTCACCCCTCTGATATCTCCTATCAGGAGTCTTAGAATGGCATCATTTATTTTCTTTATCTTTATGAATTCCCTTTTAAAGCCAAGTGCTGCTGAGAAAAGGACCCTGTTAATCTCAGATATTTCCTAACACTGGATGAGCTCAAGGCTTTCTGATGGGATGGAATGCAGATGAGTCAGAAAGGGGAGTAGAGCTGTCTAGGGGTACAGCTCTTAACTCCCACCCTCGGGGAAGTGTCTCTCCTCTCTGCCCTCCTACAAAAGTAAAGATTTCCAGTCACTCATAACTGCAAACAGCTGAACAAGCACTGAGGCACATGAACCTGCACCATGCCATTCCACCTCTGAAGACACACCATCTCACCAGAGACATTGTGAGTTCTTTCCCAGTGCTCACAAAATGTGTAATCCAAGCAGAGATCAATGGAAATATAAAACAATCATAACCAAAGAAGGCCAATATTTGTCAAGTCCATGAGTACACATAATCTTTTTTTTTAAGGAAAAAAATCCTTAATTAACTCCTCAGAGAACTATTCTTTCCTGATTGTAAATAAATCATTTTTATATTTTCTATTTGGTTGATATTTAAATTCAGGAGATACATAAATTTAGATTCAGGAGGCACACACAAAAGTGTGATATACACAAATGAAATGCTAATATTTAAATCCTGGGGCTGGGGTTGTGGCTCAGTGGTAGCGTGATTGCCTTGCATGCGTGGGGCACTGGGTTCGATCCTCAGCACTACATAAATTAATAAAATAATAAAATAAAGGTATTGTGTCCATCTACAACTAAAAATTTTTTGAAAATATTTAAATCCTGCTTTGTCCCTATTTAATTTGGAACAAAGTTTTTCTACTCATTCAGAAGATACAGGATTTTTCACCTTTCTTAACTATAGGCTTGAATTCCACAGAGAGCACCACAGGTAAGTCATCTTGTGACGGTTCTCATGGGGCTGTTGATGGGCTCTGAAATAGGAGTGTTATAGAACCCTGCCCTGAAATGAATTCGTAGAACAAAGTCATTGGCAATGCCTCTCCTGGCTGCGGGGACCTCTCAGCAGCGTCTCGTGGATCTGTGTATCAGTCAGTCAGCCCACATAGCAGTATTTTCTGTCTTTTAGAAACAATGATAGTCTCTTCCACTGGCACTAGGTTGAAGTATGGGGATTCTGCTGCTATGCTCCTGGGTCACCTTGATCAAGTTACCAAACATTCCTATATCTCAGTCTACCCAACTGTAAAAATGGGATGATGATGTTCATATTTAGGGTTGCCAAAATTGGATATTTTATTTTACATAAAGCTGGTACGCAGTAAGCCCCTATGTAAGTATTGCCTATAATTATGATTAAGGAGTTGGAACTCCAAAAATATTACCTCTACACTTCAAAGAAAATGCAAGAAGCAAAAAGGAATAGATAGCTAGAGATGCCAAACTATCCAATTGATGAGATTAAAATTATTCCTATCTCAAAATTAATCTTAACCACTTAATTTTGAGAAAGGAAAGTTTTTATTAACTTTTCAGTCCTTATTTCTCACTGTTAATCTACAAATGTCATCAGCATTTATACCCTATTAGCAGTCTTCTACCTATGTGCTGAGACTTTTTGTTTCACTCTGTTAATGCCTTGGCCCTTTGCAATGTTATTTTAGTTAGGTACTTGGCCTTTCTCCTGGCTCTTAGTGCGCGCAGGCAACATTCAGGACCTTTGCTATTTGATGGATTCATCCATCACTAAGTTTTTGGTTCTAATACTTTTCGGATGGTGAATTCTAGCAACCTCCCTAGAAGAACAGCACTGTCAGATGTAACCTCCTGATTGTTTTCTAGTTATTTGCTCAATCTTAGCCAGTGGAACATTTTCCATGTCACTTGCTGTGCTAGCTCTCCTGTTCCCCAGTCCCCACCCTTTCCTGCTTTCCCTTTCCCTACAGAACACACTCTGGAACACTCAAACAACGTCAGGTGAATGGTCAAGAAAACTGGATATAAAAAGAAATAAGAAAGCTAGTTATGGGATCAAATAATTAATAGTCTCAAGTTTCATTAAAACTCAGTCATTTTATTTAAGCAGTTTTAGAAAACCATAAAGTTAAGGTAATAGTGGGCCACTAAAGGTCGGTTATCTTTGAGGAAGGTTTATGAGATTCCTTTCTGTCTGTGACATTTGTTTTTCTTGAAGGGACACAGAACTTCCAGAAACACCAGGGCCCACTCCACACATGCTGGCGGCGCCTCTAGTGATGTCCTTTGACTGGATTTCTCCACCTAATTTCTTATTTAGAAGATTATTTTTCTCGTTTCAATTTCAAACCTGAGTGCCACAGTTCTTAAAAGTTGGAGTTCAAAATAAAAAAGAAAAGAGATTCTTTAAAAAAAATACCCACTAGATCCGTTAAATCTGACAGATATTTCAGTGGCTTCTGATGCCATCTTTGGGAAGAACAGAGATTGGTTACTGCAATCATTCATCAAGGGAACTGTTAACCAGAGACTTCCAATACGCTTCAGCTGTTTTAAACAAATGATTTTTGTCCTGCTACAGAGGTCTTGTTTTGGAGGAAGTTGGATGTTGCTTCCTTCAATGTCACAGATATAATCTCCTGTGTTCCCATCCATCCTCAGGGGACCTTGGGAAGGTCTGACTTGCTGGTTACCTCTCTCTCCTCACGCTCAACATTATATTTCAAGCATATTTATTTTCCTCATAAACCATAGACTGGTTATTTCAACTTAGTGAAAAAATTATTTGTAACTGAGTTAAAAATCTCCTGGTAGTTAAGCCATAATTTGTACTCTTTCTGAATTGAAAAATTGGATACATAGGTACTGGACAGTTAACTGCATGTAGCTAATGAAAACCAAATTCCAAAGGAGTTCAGGCCGATTAGAAACTAATCTTGAAGTCTGCTCATAACAGACTTTTTAGAGGGTCTATACCATGATTTTCGACCATGCATATGAAAGTGATAATAAAGCCATTTCCAAAGGATAATTTACAGGGTACTGGTGAACATCATGGTCATCAACAAGAACAGTCCCTGCCCCAAAGACAGAAGTCATACAGACTCAGCAGAGTTTGTCACCACAAGACAATAGCTGTCTCATCAGTAATTGGACCTAAATGTTTCAAGAGAGCCAAGAATTGACAGGTAAATCTCAAGTGGGAAAAGCTGAGGATAGTTTCACAGAAGGGATGCATCCTAAATGAGAGCTGAGGTTTTAGAAAGAAATTTGGGAGAAGGGAACTGTGTAGACACAGAGAAGTGGGAATGAATTACCAGTAATGATTAATGAGAAAAACAACTAATTGAATGGTAGGTTCAGAACCAGGAGGTGCAGGAAAAGATAATTAGATCTAGCCTCCTGGCTGTAGGGAGGCAAGGTCTTATTATCTTGTTTTGCACATAAAATAACTGAGGCCAAAATGCCTGGAAAGGTTAAATTAGGTGACTAAGTTCTTCATCTAGTGATTTTTCAAACTTTACTGCATAATAGTTTTTTTTCCTCCAGGACTTTCATTTATTCAAACTATATTTTCAATAGAAGATTTTGGTAACATAATTTGTGACAAAATAGATAATCTAGATAACATATATAAAAGATCTATTTTAAAATTTTTGTATTTTATTATTTGTAATTGTATTAACCTAAGCAATCAACAATCATTGCTATTTCTTTGAATGTTGCTTTCTGCAAATGTTTAAGATAAAACTAAAGGTTTCCAGGGATTTGTATGTATCTTAGAGTTGAGACAGATCTTTCTTCTATAAAAATGTTCTTCTGCTTTTAATTGTTGGTAAACTGGCTCTGCACTTATCCTTAAATATCACTTCTTCTGTTATTTATTCTCTTCTAAGAAGATCTTTTAAAATGTAGATGTCAGGTTCAAACTCTAAGAAGTCTGACTCAGTAGACAAGGGTGAAATCTGGGATTCCCATCTTGTACAAGACCCTCAGATGGTCCCCAAATGTAGGGACATGAGAGATCTTCGGGGATCAACCTGTGCCATCATCCTATATTAAGAATAGGCCTGTCAAGTTTTCTTCAGCTCTAGGTTGATGGATAAATATTTGGTTTATCTCACCACTGATACTCTTCATCCATTTTTCCAGTTTTCAAAACTTCTTTCACAGGAAGTGGCAGTCTGCTATCATTCACATTTGCAATGGTCTACACATATCTGAGTCCAGGCTCCTCAGACCCAACAGTAGTGATAATGGTCTCAAGGCAGTCCTGGGAATGCTGTCAAGAATACCAAGTCAAAGCCCTGAGTTTGAATCCTGTATTTCCTCCTTGTTAGGACTGAAGTTGGATTAAGTACTTTAACCCACATTTTAGATTACAAACAAGGCCAGTAAGACCTTTGTCCATAACATTACAGGGTCATGAGCAGAAAGACACAGTATAGAATTTCTCTGAAACTATAAAGACCAGTACAAACTTAAAAAAGATTATCATAGGGATTTTAATTCAACATAATTTATTTAATTACTACTAAATAACTACTATAAGTAAGCCACTGTAAAAGTGACAGGGAAGTAGGTCCCCAGTCCTCAAGAAGGAAAAGTCCCATAGATGAACTATATTCTTCCCACACTGCCATCATCTTTTGGTCTCTGACATGGATCAAAGAATGGGGCTCCCCCAAAGCAGAATCCTAACTGGCGCTTCCTCTAAGAGAGATGGGCAACTCATGGGGGAAAGGTTGAGAGGAATTATAATTTTTTATTTATCCCTTCTTTTTATTTTTTTCCTCTGCAGATTTAAGAGGCTTGGGTGCTCATGTTTCTTCTTGGAAAGTACTACACTTAGAGAAAGTTTGAGAAAGGCTTTAGTGTAGGGATCTAAAGAAGCGAATGTATAGAGCTTCTGCTGTACCTTGCTCAGAATCCGGCTCATTTGGAGAAGAAGTAAGGGGTCTTTTGGAAGTTTCTTCATGTCATAGTTTATTTCATCCAAACAAAATTGTAGTGGATGAGGAGAAGGCATGTTTAGCCTGAGCACTCCACTTAAATGTATTTTGGGAAATCATCTGTAGAGAAACAACCAAAGTTAGATTCAAAGCAGGAATCTGGAAAAGACCTAATCCAATAATGGACCTGATTAATTAATTAATCCAATAATGGACCAAATTCAATTTTAGGGAGGAAAGCCTATCTTCAACAAGTTTACGAACAGTGCACATCAGAATGCACTTAGTGGAGTGGTATTTCAGAGAAGTGACACCCTATCAGCAGTGTGGAAATGGGAGATAAAAGGCCATATATTCTTGAGAAAAGCAAATGATAGCAAACGACAATACAGTGGTAAAGAGAGCTGAGCACGAGAAACCACAGGATTGCGAGCCAGGAAGCCTGCCTTTGCCATCCTAGGCAAATCGTTTTACCATCTGGGGCTCCTTTCATCCTTGTCCCGTTCACCCTCCTTTCACTTCATTGGTTCGTTCTTTTGTTTGTTTGTTTTCGACAGTTGTAATAGTTTTCTAAGTTGGTCCTCTGGTCACCTTGCCAGAAACTCAAACCAAGCCACTCTGCCACTAGAATCATCCTGTGAGAACTTTAACCTGTTTTCAAAACAAACTTCTGTCCCGAAAAGATTTCTTGCTGACAAATGTCTTTGCATGACCCGCAGCTCCAGAGCAACCCCTCAGGTCTTCCTTCTCCAAACAGAGACACTGAATCCTGATCTTCAGCCTTCAGTTCTCTTTTAGCACTAAAACCTGTTCATTTCTTTCTTACACACATGCGAACACCAACTCTCTTCTCTCCTCCCCTCCTCTGCCCGCTGGCTAGCTAACCCTCATCCTCCTCCTCTATATGACAAAATCTTGTTCATCCTTGAACATTCAGCCCAGGTAATACTTTGTCGGTGCAGTCTTTCTGGACTCTCTGGGTAGTGTTGTCCCTTCCCCAGTAATTCCACTCCAAATCTAAATTGCAGTGGGGTTTTTCTGTTGAAGGATTTTCTGGAATTTCCCAAATGAGTGAGCTGCTCTGTTATTGGCAGGTCCATTTCAAAGTAAAATCTCCTGTTGTTCTGCTTGGAGGTAGACAGGATAGTTCACTTGTGTTCTTGTACTGTTCTCTTTTCATGGAAGTTTCAACAAGAGAAATCATAGGAAGGCTCACATTTTACCGTAGGAGGAAATTCATCCTCCTTTCTACCTACAAGTGCTCCAAAGTTCTCTTGCTTGGAAGCCTGCTTAGTTCATCCTTGTGGGTTAAAGCAAAAGCTTTGAGCTGTACTTATTACTCCCATGAAAAGTTTTCCAAGAATTTTTTTTTCTTTTATCATCTTCACTTAGAAACCAGTAATATCTCCCTCCAACAGATCCCAAAGAGTTTCTTATGGATCAAAAAGCTGTAATATGTACAACCATGAGAGGTTCATTAAACCAGAGAAAAATAAACAGTGATAACTCGTGGCATAAGTTTTCTTTAAGTTATAACTTAAAGAAATCTTTAAGTAATAACTAGTGGCATAAGATTTGTTTCTGTAGGATTTTCCCCTTTGACTTCTTTTAAAAAAAATTTTTTTTATTATCGGTTGTTAAAAACATTACAAAGCTCTTGACTAACTTAATCTCATTTTAAATCACATAAAAGATTTCTAGTGTGACCATTAGATTTTAATATGGTGGAGGAGGACCAGGAATGTGTTTTGTTGCTGTTAATAGTTTTTTAAGTTCTCCAAACGATGCTGATGTGGAGCTGTGGAATGAATAACTCTCATCTGTTTAAGCAGCTTCATCCCAAAAAAAATTTTTTTTTCTGCCCCAACTCCCACCCTCATCTCTCAAGCAGGTCCATTATTGGATTAGGTCTTTTCCAGATTCAATAAACCTCCCTGGCAGGTGAGCTAGTGGAAAACTGATGATCGTTGCTTTCTGAACTGGAAACACAGGCATTATGTGGTCAAAGGGAGGTTCCCTAGATTTCCGAGACAAATGAAAGAGGAGCTGGGAAAGGGCTCTGATGCAATTGATTAGATCAAAGGCCATTCTTTGTCCCGTGCCAGGCAGTTTTCTACATAATGCGCACCTTGTAATCCATGGAGTTAATAAGGGCTGTGGTCATCAGTAGCTGTTCCTTCTCAAGGCCATTCCTTAAGAGCAATAAGCTGTGAGAGGGACCTTCTCCTTTCATCTCAGCCTCATTGTTTTTCAAAAATCTTTCTGTGGTTAATTCAATAAAATTGCAACTCAGGCAGCCCTTTGTAATTACAGCAGGAAAGGTTTGATGACTAATAATTTCATTTATTCAAGCAGCAGAAGGATAATTTAGCAGGAAGACAATATTGGGCAATGATTCCTAAATCTGACTACGTGTCAACCCTAAGGGATGTTCTTGCTGCGTCAGGACTCCCTGTTCACCCTGAGCCTTTGTGTATTCAGAGAGATGGAGCCTCCCAATCTATTTTTTAAAGTTGCCTGATCTATTTAGGTGATTAGTTCAGTGTTAAGGATCACTTGTCTAGGAGTCCCTTGCAGGGATTTTTCAAAATTATTCCTCTCTAAGAAATTATAAAAAGTGTAGCTTTTATGTCCAACTCTAAGGGATTCTGATTGCTAGATAGGGTGTAGGAATAGGCATTTTTAATAAGTCCACAAAGTGCTTCTGAAACAGGTGGCCAGTGTGCCTCACTGCTCTTCATGGCTTGTCAAAAGTGAGTAGGACAGAGAAGAAGTCACACATCAGTGAGGCTTGGCAGTCATCTGTCCTGGGCCAGTTGCAAAGGTCCTCTCAACACAACAACTCCCTGCTTCCCAACAGTGCCAGAGAGAGCAAGGGTCAGAGCTGACTTAGGGGCAGGGCTGAGTTTCTTGTGCTTTGAAGCTGAGAGGCCAGAACCAGACAGATGCTTATGCCCTTCCTCTGGAGCAATTATTTGTTCAGTAGCAAATCTCTGGATTGAACAGCTCCCAAATGAGCTTCATGCAGTTGGTGTCGCCCTGGCTTACCTGCTTCCCCTTCCTACAATTTGACTTCAGCTTCAACTTCTCTGTTTTTGCTAGAATTATTTTTATAAAAGATCATTTTGGTTCTCCATGATACAATGATCCCCAAGAGTGCATAATCATTTGGTGGGTACCAGATCCAGGCCCTCCTACAAGTAGAACACAAGGCTGTTTCTCCTGCAGCCCTTTGAGCACCCCAGCTTCATCTTCCATGCCGATTCATGAATGATCAGCTGACATACACGAGAGCACCAGGACATGCCTGTGCCTACGACATCCCTGCCGTGACCATTGGGTCATGACCATTTGGTGGACTCTTCAACTTTCAACCTTAAGCTAAAGTATGATTCATTTTGTAAAGACTTCTTTGACTTTTCCAATAGATCAGTCTCTCTGAATCTTGCATGAGAATACTTATTACTCTACATTACCTGTATTTTAATATTATGATCGTTAATAAGATTATAATAGTAGCAGCTATTTCATTTTAGTTAATTATTATTGCAATGTCCTGTATCTTATGCTAGATATGAATTATCTCCTATTGTTCTTTTAAAATCTTAATAGATACTACCTATAGAAAACATCAATCCAGAGGACAGGTCTGTCTTATTTGAGAATAAATGCATTGCATTCAGTAGGCACTTGGTTAATATTTGTTGAATGTGTAAATAATTGATGTATAAATGAATGAATGAATGTGATGGCAAGTTTTCAGGAAAGTTGCTAATTAAAAAGATGACTGTTTCTGCTTACAAAGTGGTCACAGAGATTCCTGGGCAACATTTATATTTGTGGAGAGAGATAAAAGGAAGTGATAGAAGTGGCTCTTTTTTATTCAGAAAATTATTTGTTCAATAGCAAGTCTCAATAGGAAATCTTGAAGGTAGATGTTAAAATAAAATATATATGTCAAGAGACCCACAGAAAAAGTGACCTTGAAAGCCAAGTCAGGGGAGAGAGGTTGGAACCATGCATGGTTATCTTGATATGTTTATTCCCTGATCATTCAATATTTTCTATGCATCCCTCCCAGAGACCCAGAATTGCCTCCACCTCCAGAACAAGTCTTATTCTGAGAAAGTACAGCTCTGTCTAGGTCCTTGCTTGGAGACAGTATTGTCTTGCCCATTGACCTTGCAGCCCAATTTCCAGGGCATTAGCGTCCATCCAATATTCTAGTTCCTGATAATTGGAGTTTCTTCTTGTTTCTTGCTCCCTAGCACTTACTCCACTTACTCTGTGGACCATATCCAGGGATGACATTCTTATCTTACTCCAGTGACTGGGCTTGTATTATTAGTCAGCCTCTTGACCAATTTCCAAGAAGTATCATTGGAATCCTTCTACCTGTCTGGGAGGCCCTTCTGACAGACTTGCACATCCAGATCTCTTCCAGTGAACATACCACGTCTAGCACACCTATTTTGACTAGGGATATCACCTGGTGAAGTTGATGGTCGTTCTTCAGTATCTGTCATGATCCATCTCTTCTTTACCCAGTCTAGACAGGTAAACTGAATAGGGATGTGGTAATGGACCAAAATCCTGCATTTCTACAATTCTCTGATGGTGACATTAATACCTACGATCCTTCTAGGAATGCAGTATCATTTGTGATTGTCTTGGCTGCTGTGGAGGCTGTGGCAGAGGAAAAAGTTGGTCCAGGAGACACGGCATCAAACTCTAAGGAGATACTTATTCATGTCCAATGCAGATGGTGAGAGTTATAATCACAGTTCTTCTCCTGCATCTATGATGGATTGATTCCAAGACACACACTTACACCCACCATGGATACCAAAGTGTGTGGATACTCAGTTTCTTATCTTGGAGTATCTGTAGATTACCTGCATAGATCCTTCAATATACTTTTCATCATCTCTAGGTTAAGTATGACACCTAATACAGTCTAAATGCTATGTGAATTGTCATACTGTTTTTGTTCATATTTATTTTTTAGTTGCAGTTGGATACAGTACCTTTATTTTATTTATTTGTATGTGGTGCTAAGGATTGAACCCAGGTCCTCAAGTGTGCTAGGCAAGCGCTCCACTGCTGAGCCACAACCCCAGCCCCATGTCATACTGTTTTGTTGAGAGAATAATTGACAAGAAAATAGTCTGAACATATTCAGTAAAGACACAAGTTTGTTGGGTTTTTTTTTCCTGAATATTTTAAATCTTCAGTTGGTTGAATCCATGGATACAGAACCCATAACTATGGAGGACTGACTGAACTAACCAAGTATACTTGGGGAAAATAGAATAGCACTGGGAAATAAATGTTCAATATGGAAGAGGGCATGCACGTAAAATGAAGTGAATTTTGGTTAAGTTGCTATCTATGAGATATTGGTTGAATTGGTATGTAGCTACGTAATTTTAGACAAGTCATACATCAGAAGGGGCTTTATTTCCTCATCAATAAAATAAAGAGAATTAATTAAAGGTTTAGCAGTATAACCCATGATTTTTCTAATTATTTTCTGGGTGTCATTTTAAAATTGCAGTAATTAAAGAAATCCAAGAGAGCAAGAAAGAGTAGTAAATTTATTAACAACAATATATACCTTATACTCCATGAAGAAAAAAGAACATTTTTGGAAAAAAAACATTAAAAACATCAAAAAGAGCACATGCCTGTAATCCCAGCAGCTCAGGAGGCTGAGGTGGGAGATCACCAGTTCAAAGCCAGCCTCAGCAAAAGTGAGAACCTAAGCAACTCAGTGAGACCCTGTCTCTAAATAAAATACAAAATAGGGCTGGGGTGTGGCTCAGTGGTCAAGTGCCCCTGAGTTCAATCCCTGGTATACATAAATAAATAAATAAATAAATAAATAAATAAATAAATAAATAAATAAATAAATAATAAAAACATAAAAAAGTAGAGTATATACACAATTATTATATGCCTTTTTCTATCTTTATTTTTATTTATTTATTTTTTATGTGGTGCTGAGGATCGAACCCATGGCCTCACGTGTGTGAGGCAAGTGCTCTAGCACTGAGCTACAACCTGCCAAGGTCTCGGCTTGTCACCAGAATCACGAGCCACCACACAGCTTCGTAGGTTCAAACAGCAATTCTTTATTCCCGCTCTCACACCGCCTCCACACAGGTCCAGGGGCAAACGCGTTCTGCCGTCTCCTGCACGATTCACCTACTCCAAGAGGCTCTCTCCAAATCCCATTTTAATCTCAGGAGAACTCAACGGGAACAAGCAGCAGGAACACCCTAATCCCAGCAATAATCTTCAACTTCCAACTTCCCTA